AAGAATCATGTAGCAGACTGAGACATGGAAATAAGATAGATTTGGACGGCACTGGCCAAGTCTCCGTGCCCCAAAGCATTTCTTTCATTTACATAGGCTAGTATGGATTTCGTCTTTCTGCTGTCCTCATTTAAAAAACATAGAGAAGTTATTTATAAAATTAATACACACTAAAATAGTGAATATATGGTCTTTTTTTTTCCCCCTCTTGAAATCAGGCCTCCTGAGACACTGTATACCTGAGAATAGAATCTGAGAATAGAAGACAGAAATTTCTCAGTAAGATGTTGGGCCATAGTTAAAAGTATTTTTCTTTCTGTAAATGACAAGCAAGGGGTCCTTCGTGGGCCATACTTATCCTTTCCACTGAAGTGTTCTCAGCTGATCTCATTTTAGATGTCATATAGATAAATTACCCTATAAGGAATAGAGTGGACTTTCAAGCCGCCAGGCATTACATTGGACCAGCTCAACCTGGCTCCATCCAACTCTTCTTTCCTGAGCTAGAAGACTGTTAAAAATTTAGATTTCTTGGCTTCTTTCCTTAAACCCCATAGAAAGTGAATTTTAGACACAGAGTAATCAAGACCCTTTCCCTTTAAAATAATACTGATCTATTTCAGAGTCTGTATCTCCCTCTCTCTCTGACCCTCCCCTGCTCTCTCTCTCGCTCTCTCTCTCTCCTAGAAATAAAAAAAGAAATATTAAAAAAAAAAAAAAAAAAGATAGGGGCGCCTGGGTGGCTTAGTCGGCTAAGCGTCCGACTTTCGCTTAGGTCATGATCTCGCGGTTCGTGGGTTCGAGCCCCGCGTCGGGCTCTGTGCTGACAGCCAGCTCAGAGCCTGGAGCCTATTTCAGAGTCTGTGTCTCTCTCTCTCTCTGACCTTCCCCTGCTCACGCTGTCTCTCTCTCTCTCCTAGAAATAAATAAAAAATATTTAAAAAAATAAAATAAAATAACAGTGAATTAATTCTAAACTCTATTAGAGAAGTAACCCTATCCGTTTCAATACTTAACATAGTTCCTAGCACACAGGTATAGAAGGAACTGAAAAAATACTTTGGATAAATAGATGGAAGGAGGAAGAGAAAACAGTTTGTAGTGTTTGTGTTGTTTTGTTTGTTTTGTTTTGTTTTCCTGTCCTAGATAGGTAATTACTAAGAAAACTTCTATCTACCTTCTCATTTTTTGACACTTGTGTTGGGCAGAAATATTGGAAAGAAAGATCTAAAAACATATTTTAAAGCATATTAAACACATTAGTCCATAAAACTACACTACCCAGTTGTCTACAAGAATCAAACTAAGGATGCAGGCATGAGAGTATGGCAAATACATTAATTCGGGAATACCTCCAGTCCAATTTTGGCCACATATTTTGATACTTACTTATTTGCAACAACTTAGTGAAAATAGTGTTTGCCCAATGGCCATATACTGCACAAAGTTGAACTGAATGTGTGGGCAGACTCCAAAGGGTCAAAGACAGTCAAATAAAGGGCCAGCCAGAATGAGCAACCATTTGTGGAAGCACTCATAGGTCATGGTCCTCCAACACATGTGTAGGAATGGAATTCTGGAATGTGTGTGCCAAGTGACCCTCTTTCTCTTGGTTTCCAAAAGGAGTGAAGAGAATATATAACTAAGTAAAATCCCAGTAAGGAGGCAGTTGTTACCTTCCTTTTACAGCAGTAATAGATATTTCTATTTAAATATGAATGAAAAATGGAAACAGCCAAACAAAATTTCCTAACAGTATGACAGTCAAGGTTAAATTATTTAAACTTTGTGTGTGTTTGTTGGGGGGAGGGGGCACTACATCATTTGTTTCCAACTAGGTGGGCCTTGCCATGATACTTTGTCAAGAACCATAAACCTAATTGCAAGTAATAGTCTCTTTTGTATTGGATTTAGGCATAAGTTTTGGGTGGTAAATCAAAACTGCAAGAATAAGAAGGTAGAAAATATATAATCCAATAAAAGAGGAACATTGAGTGTTTTAAAATGTTCATTGTTACTTAGTCGTCCCCCTCACCCCCCCCCCCCCCAGGTATTGATAGTGCTCTGGTCACAGTGAATATAACTAAATATTTCATTGGCTGCTAACACAATTAAGGAAGTCATAGATTAAATAGTACATCATCCCCTGCTTCAGATATCCTTAATTAACAGACCACCTAATGGGTCGGTTTAAAAGATTTTAACACAGCTAAAGAAATATATTAACATTAGTTACTATCTCATAAAAAGTTTGTACTCAAAGTTTTCACTGCTTCCCATTTTGTCTCACAGCCCTTTCTAATTTCCGCTGGTATAAATCAAATTAGATTTATTAGCATTGTACAAAAGAGCTCCAGTAGGTTTTTAATAATAATTATCATTATCACTGATTAAAGTTATATTGTTCAGGCCAGATGGAGTCCTTTTCCTGTCAGTGAGAATGAGCTTGCATTATGTAGTTATAATGTGTTTGGATCTAAATAAACAGATGGCAGAGTGACAGGATATTATATGCTGGTGATGTCAGCAACAGTGGTTCACAAACAGAATTGCTTTAGATAAACTCTGTTGTGGCAAAGATCCTCATACTTTTAAGAAGGTGAATGGAATTGAGCCTAAGTGTTATATTAACCTGGAAATTGTAGTGTTCACTTGTAGAAGGGTAGACCATTTGGATAGCCTGAGGTTCAACTTGAGAAAGTATATCTGCTGAATCTACTCCTTAACTGAAAGCATTTAACATAACAAATTGATTCAGGCAGTCTCCTAGGGAGAGAGAAAGAGAAAAGAAAAAAAAAAAAGCTGCCCAAGTTATAAGGTCTTTCAAGTTGAAGAGTTAAGACCTGTGGGTCAAGAAAAAAGGGAAAGATTTGATATAACCCTATTTCATAACTTTTAAGGTATAATAAAAACTTGGTTGTGAGCATGATTCCTTTCAGACACATGATTGTAATCCAAAGCACTTGTATATCAAAGTGATTTTCAAAAACTATTGGCTCGGTTGTGATCATGTGACATTCGGCATTACATACCCCTTGTACTGTAAGACTTTGCTCATTTTTCAAGTTAAAATTTATTAGAAATGTTTGCCTTGCAGAACACTTGCAGAACAAGTTACTCACAATCCAAGGTTTTACTGTATAATTTATGATGTTAAAGCAAACATCACATATAGGCATATACTCATTCACAACTAATGTTAGAAAATTAACAGAGAAGGTTTAACAAGGACTATGTTATAGAAAAGATTTAGTCTTTAATATATTTTTATGTATACTTTTTATTCTAGAAAAAATCAGTTCTATATACCCTTGTACCCATAAATACTAGGGCAAATCTATGAAATTAAGAAGCAAACTTTAAAGAAAATCATTGTATGTGATTTCTTCTAGCTAATACTCTATGGTTGAGTCCTTAGGAGAATTTCTCTGTAGGACAATTGTATTTGCTGAGGCAAATACCCAGAGTAGCAGAGTCTTAAGAGCAAGCTATAGAAGATAAAGGCTCATATTTGAAAATGAAGGTAATACCAATAAAATGTTTAAAAAAGGATATCAAATAATTGAAATTAAACTTCTTAAAAAATGTATCTTTTTTAAATGCTTGAAACTTTTATATAAAGATGTTGGTTTGCAAACATCTTTGGATGGCCCCATGCATGGGCGCATTGGCCTCTATGCACGGAGGGCAAGGAAGACTGAATCCAGAGGGACACTACTCCAGATTGATAGGTGACAAGTTTAATAGGCAAGGTAACTTACATACAAGGCTGGTCTTGGTTTTGGACTGACACAAAACAAGTAGATATCCATACCTGCCTACCGGACTCTTAAGTTTATACGAAGGTTTTAAATGGGTTCAGTAACATATCCAATCCAAATGGCAGTAATATCACCTTACTCTTTCTTTTTTTTTTTTTTTAAAGAGAGACAGTGTGAGCAGGGGAGGGTCAGAGAGAGAGGGAGACACAGAATCTGAAACAGGCTTCAGGCTCTGAGCTACCTGTCAGCACAGAGCCCGACGTGGGGCTCAAACCCACGAACTGTGAGATCATGACCTGAGCTGTGGATGCTTAACCAACTGAGCCACCCAGGTGCCCCTCACCTTACTCTTTCAAAGTTATATCCTTTCAGGCTGCTCTAGGGGAATAGTAGGCAGTATGTGCATTACAAGGACAGGGGAAGGAGCAAGGAGTCTCCCATTGTCCAGGTCTAGCTCAAAGGTCAACCTGTTGTCACATACTCTTGATGACATCCTCCCTCAAATGAGAATCTAAATTATGTGTGTAGGGGCTCCTGGGAGGCTCATTCGGTTAAGCGTCTGACTTTGGCTCATGTCAGGATCTCGTAGTCTGTGATTTTGAGCCCCGTGTGATCTCCCTGCTGACAGCTCAAATGCTGGAGCCTGCTTCGGATTCTGTGTTGCCCTCTCTCTCACTGCCCCTCCCCAACTTGTGCATGTGCGCACTCTTCTCTCACAAAAATAAATATTAAAAAATTAAAAATAAATAAATATATGATGTATATAACCCTTTTATTCTGATAGTTTGCCATGTATTAGTAAAAATAGATTTTTTTCATAGACTCAACTTCTTTTTAACTATTGATTTAATCCTTGATATCAATTAGCCATGAACTTCTAAAATTCTATCAAGTAGAACAAAATCACATAGAATCAATAGAATAAAAATGTTCAATAGTCAAAGTAAAAGTTACTTCATGCAAATATTTACTCCTATCTGGAAAAATTCACAAATTCAACTCATTTCCTTTTCTTATAAAATAATGAGAAGAGTTTGAATATCGGGAGATTGTATTTCAGCTTCACATGTATTTGACATTCAGGTTTTGCTATGTAAAGTGGGCATTTTATGGGCTATGTTTCAGCTATTGGGTAATATAAAAATCCTCAGAAAGGAGCAAGACTATTTACTTTGAAGAGTTATTGCTAGTCAAAGAGTGACAGATGATAATGTGCATGTGCTCTTTCCTATTCTACAGGTGGACGTTGTCATAAGTCCTGTACTGGCCGATGCTGGGGACCCACAGAAAATCATTGCCAGACCTGTAAGTGTTCAACAATGAGAAAGAATAGGCTTAAAATGGTCAAGGGATTTTAATAATTCATGCTTTTCACACTTCTCGTCCTCAGAAACATGAAAATGAGCTTTTGCTTTTTTGTGGTAGATTTGCTTCTATTCAAGTAAACTCCCTAATTTCATTGCTTGCAAATGAAACATAATATGTAATTGCTTCTTATATTTCTTTGTGGTTTCCAAGTTAATGCTATTAACAAAACTGATGTGCTGATATTAACTATGACTTAAGAGTCTGTAGATAGAGAAAGCAGGAAATCTTAAATGTGTACCAAATGGTAACTCCATTTCAGGTTAACTGAAATCTCAGTAATTATAACACCGTTCGTTCATTAGGAAAAGAAAAAAATGAAAGGGAAAAAAAAGAGCACTATGTACTTACTTTGTTCTAGGCACAGAGATATTAACTATATAAATTATGGATATAGACTGACTATATCTTGCCCTTTATGTGTATCATTTCTTGTATTAGCCATTAAGGTAAGTATAAGCTATCATCACTGCTAAGACATTTAAAAACAAAGTATACTGAATACAAAGACAAGTATATTGTTCTTCAGCATTCTTAAAACCATACTTACATCAGGACTGAACTTTCACTAATCTTAAGGATAAATGGTTTCTTTAAGAAGGAAAAACAAAATGCTCTATATGAATGGTAAAGATTTTTCTTCTTTCCTGCTACAATAACAACAGCTGGAATAATATATGGAAAATAGTGTGGTGGCAATTTGAAATGAGTTCCTTTTATTAGCATAGAAGACACAGAAAATGTTACTGAAAATATGAATATACAAATATTAAATATTGTGGAAATTTATTATATTATTGGATGAAAGTTTAGATATTTCTAATTTGTCTCAGTTCATATTTGTTAGATTCTCCTTCAATAAGGAAATGCAAAAATAATTACATTATTGTGAGCCAACAAAGGAAAAAGATAGAAGAAAAATATTTTCTCACTGGTAAATGATTTTTTTCTTTTTTTTAATTCATGGACATTTTAATGTTCAACATTCATAAAATACAAAAGAACATAAAATAAAAATTTCTTCCCATTTTTGTCCTTCAGATACTCCTAGGCAACAAATGTTAATAGCCACCTTTGTGTATTCTTCCAGAGATAATTTATGCATACAGTAGGAAATATGTACATGTTCCTTTTTTCACTCAAATGTTACCATGCTTTACATGCTATAATGTACTTTGATTTTCTTAGTCCATGCATATGTGAATGAATTTACTTGTAGTATTAATGCCTAGTGGTCATTGCAAGGTCAAGGACACATATTTATACAATTTGATAGAGATCACCAACATGGAAATCTTGTTTTCCACAGAGTTTGTAAAAGTTTTCAGTGCCAGGAGCAATGTATGTCAACTCCTGTTTCCCTAGTCCCTGGGCAAGGCAGTCTATTATCACACTTCTGGGTCTTTGTCAAAAAGTTAGATAAAACATAGTATCTCAGTGCAGACTTAAATTAACTTATTTGACACAAATAGTGTTTTATGAAAGTTATATTTTGGCAAGAATTTTAAGCCAGATTATACAGATTAAAGCGTGAAATAAATTTACTACGCTTATTTGTAGACAATGTTCTAATAGCAAAGTAGTTGAGACCAAGTCGTGCACAATGCTGAAATAACATCAATCTGGCCATGTGCACAAAGTCGAGGTTTCTAAAGTATAAGAGAATGGTTGTAATACTCTGTGATGAAGTGGCAGGTAACCGTGGAAATTGTTAAAGAGTTCAAATGTCCATAGGTCCTCTCATGGCAAAAGCCTTCTTAGTTGTCAAATTTAAAAATGAATTTCTACTCACTCAGCAACTTACCTATTTTACAAAGGATCAAGGAAACTTTCCAGCCTGGCTACTTGCTGTGTCTGGGCCCCTCTGGTGACTCCACCCAATTACCCCAGGTCTTCTGGAGAAAAGGCCTCTCAGGGCCACCCAGCTCACCTAGCATTCTTGAGGTCCACATTTTAAATCTGGGGAATATAGGAGCCTACTTGAGATGTTTTCTGTTGCTAGCTTACATTTAAGAAATGCTAGTTTGGATTCCTTTCTTCTGTTGGGTAGACAGACATAAGATACCTCCTCCAGTTCAGAGTTCCAAAATAGTTTGCCTTTGTCTCAACACCTTTCAAAATTCTCCATGAATTATTGCCTTTTTCATTATTTCCACAATATAGCTACTCTTAGGAAGAAAGGGCAGGGAGAAACAGGTTTATGCCATCTTTTGTGGACTAGAAGTCCCTTATAGTACTTTTAATAATACTATTAATGAATGAAATCAAATCAAACTCTTAAGTCATCTTTGTTGCATTTTATATGCATTTTGTAGAATAGAAAAATGTAAATTACTTTCTTCCCCTTCTTCTCTTTCTTCTTCTTCTCCTCCTCTTCCTCCTCCTTCTTCTCATTATTATTATAATCATTATCATGATCATTATTATTATTTTAATGCTGAATGATCATTCTATAATTGATAGGGATGCATGAGTGAAAATCTTGGAAATCACTCTATTATGATAGAATGAGAAAACAATATGGATGGGTATTCTCCAACTTTGAAAGTTAAATATGTTTTTAATTCATACAGTTTTCAAAATTCTGAAACTTTTAATTAATTTTAAGGATTTAGTTATGTTACAAAAATTTACAAAGTTTAGTAAAAAATATAATTTTCATCAACACCTGTTATTCTTATAGTAGACAACCTGGGATAATGGCCAAGTAGATGCCTGTCTTTCTCTGAGAACTACCCACTTCTAGAGGGGTGAGTCACTGTGGCCATGTTTGTTTCGTGTGATGCTCTAACCCTTAGTCATATGACAGTGTTTCTCAACCAGAGGTGATGTTGCCCCCAGGGGACATTTGATAATACTTGAATATTTTTGGTTGTTACAACACTGAGTCAGATTAAGGGGAGCATCTATTGGCATCTATTAGGTAGAGGCCAGGGATGACACCTACAGTACACAGGAGAATCTCACTCTATCCCTATCTAAACAAAGAATAACTATATAGCATAAAATTTTAAGAGTACCGAAGGTTAAGAATGAGATATCTTGTAATAAGAGTAAATATTGACCAAAGTTGGGCCAATGCGATTCTTGCCCCAGAGAATTTGGACTTAAGATCCAGAAATTCTGGTTACACTACCTTAGAAATTTGAACGTGAGGAGATATTAAATCTAGTCTAAGTTTCCATTTTGAACCTGTCAACTAAGTCAGTCATGCAGAAGCAAACAAGAATCAGAGACAAAAAAAATTTTTTTTTACATACTGGTTCTCAGGCCTTCATGAGATCCAGCTACATTTCTACCCTCTGGTGCCTGAAGAAAAACAGTGTTCTTCTCATATGTTTAAATGAGTTTTTTACTTGCCGCCAAGTGGGAATGGTCTTGGCTAAGACCCCATTAAAACTTTGCTTAGTCGAGACGGTCTTGACTAAGAAAATCAGCAAGCCATAGCTCATGTATCAAATCATCAGCATGAAATAATTAAATTCACCTAATTTTTTATCATAGGAATTATGCTTACTATAATGACCTAAAATTGGCTTAATGGTCAGTATACCTACTCCACAGAGCCTATCAAAGTTAAATTCAGTAAATATATACATGTATCTGATATGTGCAAATCCAAATTTTAAAGCATTTATTTTCATGGATCTTTGTAGTTTATAAAAGATTTCCATTGTATCTTCTTTAAGTTTATTAATTATTTTAAGAGAGACAGAGACAGCATGAGCAGGAGAGGGGTAGAGAGAGAGGGAGAAAGAGACAGAATCCCAAGCAGCCTCTGTCTGCACTGACAGCACAGAGCCAGATGTGGGGCTTGCACTCACTAAACTGTGAGATCACCTGAGCTGAAACCAAGAGGTGGGCACTTAACTTCTGAGACACCCAAGAGCCCCAAAAGATTCCCCTTTTAAAATTTACTTTCACCATATTCCTGTGAGTTAAACAGGACAGTTAACATTTACCTCATTTTATAACTGGAGAAGTGTATGCTGAGGAAATGATCAGGGAGTCGTTAAATTTATGCAGCTAATATCTGGGATTTCACAACCTGAGTATCCTCAATTTAAAGATAAAACAGCTTCCTATATACCACATTGTGTAGCACAGCTGAGTGGACAAGGACATTGGATTTGAAATCAGACAGATGATACAAAACCCAGTTCTTCCCATTTTTGTCATGGGAAAGTGACTTAATCTTTCTAAATCTCCAGTTACCATTTTAGTAAAATGGAGATAATTGCACTTACCTCAGAAGAGTTGTTGTTTTTGGAATCAAATTCAAAAGAATAGTGTAGATGAAATGCTAAACTATCTTTTGGCATATGCTAAGGACCTAATAAGTAATAGCTAATGTTTTAATAAGTTAAAGGATATACTGTTAGAACACTTTATCTTAATTCTGAATTAATGGATGTAGAAGTGAAATTTCTGTAGGCCAGTTCTACCCTGTGAAAACTACTGATATCCAGTGAAAACTACTGATACCCATGGCTGAGGAATGAAAAAGCAAAAGCACTGAGAGTGAAGTGGAGGCTTTTTGCCCTTGACATTGTTTGTGTTCTCTCTTCTTGTTTGAGCTACTTGAAAGGTAAATTACTTATCCATATTTAAAGAGCACACCATCCTGAGGCAAAATATATTTTGGAACTACTCAAAGACATACTTATTTTAAGAACTGAATTTTAGAAATATGATCTTTTTTTTGAGAATTAGACTTTGTGAGAGATTCTTTAGAGATGTAATATACGTGATCAAAACTTTTTAAAAATATAAAAATTTTCAGGCTTCCTTTAGATTTCTGAGAGCCTTCCTCTTAGTTAAAATATATTACTTAACCTTAGACCCATTTGAGAAACACTCTTCTCTGATTCTTGACTGAACTTTTTAAAAATCTGAAAATCTGGGCTATTCAAGTTTTTGACAATATTCTGTTTTTGTTG